CCACTGCCCACAGCTGGTGAAACAAGAAGAAAAATACAGGATCTTCCTTCAGGCATACAGATGAAGTCTGTAAGGACTGAGTTTGAGCTTTCACCATCTTCCATGAGTTTATCAGGTCTAAATCTACCATATTTTCATTTTATTAGTCTACTTCTGTGGGGAAGCATGGGACTTGTTGGAGTGTCTGTAAGGAGGAATCTCTGAAAGGTCGGGGCCTCTGAGGGGACCTTGCTGAAGGCGGCAGCCCTACCTTGACTTTTCCAAACAAGTCCAATTCCCAGGGTTTTTTTGCTAGAATCTCTGTTTAGTCTTTAAAATCCCGACTTGTAGAAGCATATACTTTCTTAAGGATACTTACCCTACTACTTGTATCTACAGGTTATGACAATAAAAACCTACAGAGGCAGGTGAATGGGACTACTTGGTAACGATAGTCAATAAGTGCCTTAGCCCTTCTTTCACAAAAGCTTGTGTTAGAGTACTCATTCATCCATCGTTCAGGGTCTGCCGGACAGCCCCAGCACACTTCTAATTTTATTGATCACAATTATCCTCTAGTGTGCTGCCTGTATCCATCTCTCCTAACTCTGTGTTCAGTGAGTTCATGTTGATAGCTTGAAATTGGTTATGGTGATAGTATTTACACTATGAACTTGACAACGTCTATAATTCAGGGCTTGTTTTTGTTTTCTAGGAAAACCCAGCTGTTACACATTTACCATACTAAACTGTTATCCCTATAATCATCCATACTTCCTCTCCTGTGAGACCCAACCTCCTTTTCTTTCACCCAAATATTCCATTGAATTGTCTTGGAATTACTACTCCATGATTAATAAGTCACTTGTATGCTCAGTCGTTTCATGTTTTGTTTCCTATACCTCCTGCAGGACAGGCTACATAATTTTCAGGATCTGGTGCAAAATGAAAATGCAGGATCCTTTGTTCAAAATCTATTAAAATTATTAAGAATTTTAAGACGACAACAACAGTAGAGCTTTAAACCAAAAATAGGGCCTTTCTAAGAGTGGAGATTTGTATAACCACACAGGTCAAGTGCCCATAAACTAGTGACCACCTATTCTTAACCGTAAATCTGCCCTGCCCTGAGGATACTGTTTCCATGTGTGATGGCTACTTATTCTCCCATTCTTTAGGACTGAAGGTGGGTTGCTATGTTATTGACCATATAATTCCCAATTCTCTTTGCAAACAATTACTCTTCTATCTTCTTTGTAAAAACCTCTCTCTTCTACCATTTTGGCTGCACTACACTTCAACTCTCATCATAGCTGTCATCTCCCAACATACTAGTTACTCCTCCTACATTACTGATGGCTTTGGTATCTGGCTCTCAAAATTCCTCTTCATCCCAAGTCTTTGCCTACTTAGGAGAACAGACTCTGGATAGAAGCAGAATACCTGGATTCAAGTCTGTTTTGTTTTTTTTAAATATATTTTATTGATTTTGTACAGAGAGGGAGATAGTTAGAAACATCGATGAGAGTCATTGATCAGCTGCCTCTTGCACACTCCCTACTGAGGATATGTCCGTAACCAAGGTACATGCCCTTGACCGGAATCGAAACCGGGACCTTTCAGTCCCCAAGCCGACACTCTATCCATTGAGCCAAACCGGTTTCAGCTGGATTCAAATCTTCATACTACCATATATTAGCTATGCTGCCTTGGCCGTGCTTTTTATTTCTGTTTTTTTCTTAATATATTTTATTGATATTTTTACAGAGAGGAAGGGAGAGGGTTGAGAGATAAACATTGATCAGCTTCCTCCTGCACACTCCCTACTGGAGATGTGCCCACTACCAAGGTACAAGCTCGGAATCTAACCTGGGACTCTTCAGTCCGCAGGCTGATGCTCTATTCACTGAGCCAAACCGGCTAGGGCAGCCATGATTCTTAACCTTTCTTTTCTTGAGCTTCCTCATTTATAAATTAAGAGATGATAATACTACTTCATAGAACTTGTTGTATGGATTAAAAGAGTTAATACATGTAAAGGGTGCAGAATGGTATCTGGCACATATTACGTGCTCACTCAGTAAACATTAGCTATTGCTATTATCATCATCATGGTAAAGTCTATTTCAATGTCTACATGAATAGTCATTTAGTATGTTTTTTTGAGCTCCCTGTCGTCAATAAATTTCTTCTCCACTCTACCCAGCAACTTTCTTCCAATCCTGTAGGCACTTCTCCACCTCCTAAATCTTAACTTCAAATATCCATGACTATTATCTTCATCCTTGCAGGATTCACATTTACATGTGTCCCATATGTCTGCTTTCTATCAGCAAAACCTATGAATATCAGGTATATCTCTTCTATTATATCTCCGTCAGCCTCTATCTTTGCTTCTTTTCCTATCTTCTTACATTCTCTCTTTCATCCACTCTCTTAACAATAACCTCAATTTCATGCCCCAGTTTCCTTTTATACAAGACTGGCAAAGTTCCAATCTTGGATGAATCATACTATCAGTACCACTCTTATAAATTCATGGACTCCTTTTTCAATGCTGCCCAGCAATCTTTCTATTTCCTTACCTATTCTGCCATCTCCTATGCTTCACAATAGCTATTTTAGACCTTTACTGCTCTCTCTAAACTTCTGATATTCCTGCCTCTACCCACTTATCCCCACTCCAGCTATCTTTGCTTCTGCTCTCAGTAAATATCCCACTTCTGAAAAAAATGGGAACAAGATTAAAATTACCACAATATTCTCTACCAAACCTCAAAATCCACCTTAGCTGCCCTTATATCCATGCATTTCTTCCTATCACAATGAAGGGGATGTCTCTTCTCCTGCTTAACATTAATCTTGTGTTCCATTCTCTGGATTCTAACCCCCCTGTCCTAGAAGGTAATGGTTCCTAAATATGGTTCTCAGACCAGTAGTTTCAGCATTCTCCAACATTTTACAAATGCAAATTCTCAGGCCTCGCTCTAGAACTACTAAATCACTAACTCTCAAGTTGGAGCCCAGCAATGTTTAACAAACCTTCAGGTGATTCTGATGCACGCTAAAGTTTGAGGATCATAGCTCTGAGGGATTATTTTTTATCCCCTTTCCTGTCAATTCAACCTCCATTTTTTGTTCAATGGTTCCCTTGCTTGAAGAGCCTCCTATTTGAGTGCTCCATGTACATTCTTGCCCTTCTCAAGTCTATTCATTACACAGAAACCTATCTGATCATGCCATTCCCTCCTTAAATAAAGACTAATATTTTAAGAAGGCCTTAAGGCTCTGCACACCTCTCAAGTCTTTTCTTGCACCACTAGCTCTCTTGCTCTGTTTGACAAACAAGACCAGTGTCTCTCAACTTCTTGATCTTGCCACGTGACAAACTTTGAAATTGTTATCCCCTCTGCCTGAAATACCCTTGGCTTGTTTCTTTCCCTAGCTCCTACTTCTACTTCAGATTAAACTTTCCTTTCTTAAAGTAGGAAAATCTTGATTAGGTCCCTACTAGATGCTCTTAAAGAATCTGCATTTATCCTTTCAAAACCTGCATCAAACTTATAATTATCTAATTATTATAAATGTAAGCTCTATTCGGGCAGGAATCATGTTTATCTTATTTACTATAATATTCCTAGTGCCTAGCTTAGTACAGTACCCTGTTCTAGTAAATGTGCAATAAATATTTGCTGATAGACTGAGCCTTGCATACACGGTGCATCTGTCCAGAATACTTATATCTTTAATCCCTTAGTGAAAGCCCTTGAGAAATAAGTTAAGCATCTCTATAAAGTGTTCCCTGAACATACACACCACCTCCCTGCTCAAGTGGATCACTTCCTCTTTTGTGATCCTATTGTATTGTGCATATAACTCTACTAATGCAATAATTATATACTATTTTAAATATCTATTTTCATGTCTGAGTCTCCACTAGACTGTAAACTTCCTAAGGGAACAGATCATGTCTTGTTTACCAATGTATCTCTAGTGTTTAAAAAAGTGCCTGACCTTGATAATAGGTGTCTATAAATGTTTATGGGCATATTAAGCCTAAGTCTATAATCTCTAATACTGGACTGAAAGTTCGTTTCTTAATATTAAATCTGGCTTCCAATTCTAGGTTTGCTGTTCATTAGCTGCATGATCAAACTGTTTAACTTTAGGCCTCAGTTTCCTCAACTGACAAAGTTTGAAAAGGGTTAGTAACACCTATTTGGAAATATTGCTATGAAAATTCAATAAAATGACATGGCAAAATGATCAGCACACAGTGCCATGCATGCAGTACTGCCTCCCCACTCTGGCTTCAACTTGATAGAAACAACTAGGACAAAACAAATACAAAAATAAGTCACAGGAATCAAGGGAGACTGAGCATGGAATGAGTCATTCCTTTTAATAATTTCTCAGGAAGATCAACAGTGAAGAAACATAATAAGCAGAATAAACTCTACTGGTGGTATCTCCTTTGGCATACAAAGCTTGTGAGAATTCACTGTAGAAACCTCTTGGCTAACGGCCACATCCAGCTCCCTTGCCCAGCAGGTCAGGTCTTAATCTGCACTACCAGCCCTGGTTACTTCAGACTGGAATAGAAATGACCTCATAAGGAATATGTTTACAGGCAGGAGATATGGAAAAAGAAGGAGGAGAACTTGACTGCAACCACATCAATCAAGTGCTTTGCAATCTGGCAGAAATCACTGTAGAATTGTTGGTGGAGACTAACACCCACACAATGGCACTTACCTGCAGCCAACAACCAGTTTAGATTAGATAATGAGCAACTTTCTGCTTTTATCAAAACAATGTCAGACTTGCATTGAGTGAATATCTCTAAGGTCAAATTACCCTTGTTCATCTGGGAAGCACCCACAAAGATGATACTAAACAGCTTTATACATACACTCCTCAGCCTAGGAGCACTGGCGACAAGCACAGCCTCATTACCTATGTTTGCCAAATATAAAAACAGACTTAACAGATTCTCTGCTCCTTATTCATAATATGCTTACCTCTTCGGAGCCATTGGTTTTCAGATCACCTAGTGCCTTGGAGTCATTCACTTCAGAATGCTGTGTCACTATAGGTGTAACTTCTTTACTGGGACTCTCTCTCTTCTGAAGCCTCCTGATTAAGTTCTGCTGGTCCCTGGAAGATACAGCAGGTCGGAGTGGAGCTCTGGGAAGGCTCTGCCTCCTCTGAGATGCCCTGGTCCAACCTAGCCCCAGAATATGAGGTGCAACATCTTCAGGTAGAAAGCCCAAGTCATCTGCAGCTTGGAATTTCTTAAAAAACACCAGCATGGAATTGGAAGAGTCTGTCCTAAAAGTCCGGCAGCTCTGGGGACTGTTGCAGTCTGCCTGAATGCACATCCCTTCTAACCACCAAAGGGCATGACATGCAGAGTCCTGGCAGCAGGCAGCCCAACATGCCTGGAGAGAGGGGGTTCCTTCAAGAAGCCGGAGGTAATTTTCTCCCCCAGATCTCAAGCCAACTCCAAATTGTGTCTTCACCTGTTTGCACCTGCTCTCACTGGCATCTAAAAACAAAGAATGAAAATATTTAAAGATGAAATAAAAACAGACTACTACTCTGTAAAGAATCCTGAACACCAACATTTGAGGCTATTGTGAAAACTGGTTTTTAAGAGAGTGGGAAAGCTATCTAGTAAGAGGAACAGAAGATGCAAAAGAAGAGTGTTTTGGGCTCAGGATATTTTAGAGTACTGCTCCACATTCATTGCTGGTTCCTCTCTAAATAATTCCCTTCCAAGTAGACCTTGTACAGAGAATTCCATCCAGTTTGTAAAACAGAAAAAAAAAAATCAAAAGAGCTATTCTGGTGGCGGTGTATGGAGGAAAGGGGTGGGAGGGGGCCCACACATGCATACCAAGATGTTTCTCAGGAACAGTGTGAAGACTAAGAGACCAGAAGAGCAGATAGCTAAACAAGCTGGAATGTCCCCCACTGAACTGGCAGTGATACAAACAGATGCTTGACCTTTTGCAGGTTACAGGTTTATCATGTTCTAACCAATTGTTTGCCAGAGTCAGGTGGTTCTGCATATCATGGTATCAGCAAGACCAGTAGTCAAGCTTAACAAAATTTTAATCATGACAAACTATGTGGTTAACCTAGATAAATGGTCCAAAATTCTGGCTAATGCTGCTTATGGAAGAACTTTTGGGCTGCTGAATTACTTAAGGCATAGCATTGATTTTTCACTCCTGTATTCTTAGATGAAGTAAAGTCAGAGCATTCTCTAAATGAAAGTTGTTATACAGGGTTCATTTTAAGGTACTGTTATATAGGTCTCTATAACCAACTGTGGTCAGGTGATAGAGGGCCAGAACCAGGACAAGGCAAGAGAAGTGCCTGGTGCCCAAAATTTAAGGAGGCGCTTATTCTCAGAATCATTCAAGTGCAAAGTTGGCTTACCCAGCCCTTGAGAGTGAGTGTCTCCTTAAATTTTATGTCCTATGTCTTTCTTCACTCTAACCCTGGCCCTGTGATTATAACATAAAGTATATTTTATTTTATTTTTTAAAATATTTTTATTAAATTATTATCTGTGTACATATTTTAACATTGCCCCCCTATATTTTAGAAGTAATATAGAAAATATGCAAAAGAATAAAAATATTAAAGAAATGGATAATCATATGTCTCCATGTACACTAACTGAAAAAGGGCTATGACTAGCTAAAGCAACATACTGATAATCATCCAAAGCCAACCTAACTCCCAGAAAATACCTACTAAATGTTTAGAGACTAAATATCGACACTGAGCTACTGAGAGAATAAAAGCAGGCTTCTGGATCACTGAGTTAAGCAAGTGCTAGGAAAGCCAACTTGCCATTGTTCTTTACAAGACCAGAGAGATACATTAGTACCACCCTAACATTAAACAAGGCAAGTGTTTTGAAAGGCCATAAAAAGACAGAATTTCCTTAAGAAAATGAAGAAATAGCTCAGCTGGCATGGCTCGGTGGTTAAGCATCAACCTATGAACCAAGAGGTCACCGTTTGATTCCTGGTCAGGGTACATGCCTAGGTTATGGATTTGATTCCCAGAGTGGGGCATGCAGGAGTCAGCTGATCAATGATTCTCTCTCATCACTGATGTTTCTATCCCTCTCTCCCTCTCCTTTCCTCTCTAAAAATCAATTTTAAAATATTTTTTAAATAATGAAGAAATAGCAACTATGAAAAAAACAAAACACCAAAGTTACCAAGAGCTACAGAAATACCCCTCATTTCCTCATTCATCTTCCCACAAAGTAACCAATGGTATGAATCTTAGTAACAGCTGAGTGTATAGACTTTGTTGAAATCAAAATATTGTTCAGTAACTACTGCTACCTTTATGTCAATTTTTCATCATTCTTCTCAGAATAATTCTGTCATGTTTAACACTGAAGAGGTCCAGACAGATGAAAATAAATTGTAGTTTTCTGCAAGCTACTATTTTATATTTTGAAAAATGTACTTTGAAACCTCCCCCCCCCTCCGCCCCACTTCTGCCCTTAAGGAAGAAATTGCCATAGTACTTGCCCTCCCACCATGAGAAGCTAGAAAAACAGAGAAAATATATGAAACAACTGTTTTTAGATATTGAACAAGATAGTTCAGGGCTGTAATCTAGGGGGAAAAAAGAGACAAACAAGGTATGACCACCTTGGCTTTCCACATAGAAGCAAGCTGAAAAATGAGGGAGGAGATCCAAAGCAAAACAGAGAGGTCTTGCTGAGGAAAGAGAGTTTAGAGTGACTGTGATAGAATTTTAGAGCAAACTATTAGAAAAGAAAAAGCTCACAGAGAAAGAGCTCCAGACATCTAGATAATGGTCCCTTTTAATCTTTGAACACTAATTTATGTCAAGTGTAAATTGATACTACATGAGAAAATTAAAAAATATTTGAATGAAAACTAAAACATCAAAATTTGTGAGATGTAGTTTAAGCAATGTTTACAGGGACATTTATAGGTTTAAATGCTTATTTCAAAAAAGTCTAAAATCAATAATCTAAGAGACAAACAAGGAGAAGGCCATGTGACAACAGAAGCAGAGATGGGAGTGAATCAGCTGCAAGCTAAGGAATGCTAAGGATTGACAGTGAGCACCAAACATCAGGAAGAGTCAAGGAAGCATTCCACCTAAAGTCTAAGAACATCAACCCTGCCAACACCTTAATATTGGGTTTCCAGCACCAAGAACTACTGGTTTATGCAAATTCTCTGCCCCTGCCTGGGGGAACAGTTCAGGAGACAGTAGGCTCCAAGACCACCAAGTACCTAGATGCAGGGATCACTTGACATTTGAGGATGTGACTATAGAGATAGATGCCTGCATGCTATATGTTCTCCCTGCATGATCTACAGTAATAATCTGCTTTGTGTTGATATTTACTGCTGTGCTGTTGACAATTACCTGAAAGAGAAGTTGGGGTGCTTCACTGGGCTTTTTCAGGAAAAAGTTTAGCCAAATAAGAAAGCAGGTCTAATTAAGCACATTTATTCCACATATACTAGAGGCCCAGTGCACAAATTCATGCATGGGTGGGGTCCCCTGGGTTGACCTGTGGAGATGGGGCCCCAGTTCACAAGCCCCAGCTCCCCCTCCCTCCCCTCGTGTCTTGCAGCCATGCAGCCCCATGTGGCATCCCACTGTGGCCCTGCACCTCCCCCTCACCTGCTCCACCATCCCGCCTGCAGGTGATTGATCTGGGTTGCGTCCCCCACCTGGCTCCCTTAGCACCTGGAAGCCTGGTGGCGGCCCAGCCTCCCACTGTCGCCACTGATACCTGTCTGCAGGGTGATCAGTGGGAAAATCAGGCTCCTGCTGGCACCCACCTTGCCCTGGTGCCACCCACTCATCTGACAAATTAACTGTATCAGGAATGAAAAAAGAAATATCCTATTTATTCAGTAAACCAAGGGCAGCAAACTATGGCCCAAGGGTCAACTCCAGATGCTGCCTACCTACTATTGTAAATGAAGTTTTATTGGAACATAGTCACACTAATTTATTTATGTCTTGTCTGTGGCTATTTTTGCTCCAAGATTGCAGAGTTAAGTAACTGTAACAGAGTTATCCTAAGACTGGCAAAGCCTAAAATATTTACTATCTGACCCTTTTAAGAAAGTTTGACAACCCCTGTCTAAAAAAATGTACTTTTATTTGACTTACTATTTACTATTAAGTAGAGCCTCAATTTATATGCTAACTTATAGAAAATAGATATATTGCATAAGGTATCCTTATATCCCACCTAGATATATCCTTTTTTAAAAATATATATATATTTTATTGATTTTTCACAGAGAGGAAGGGAGAAGGATAGAGAGCTAGAAACATAGATGAGAGAGATACATCGACCAGCTGCCTCCTGCACACCCCCTACCGGGGATGTGCCCACAACCAATGTACATGCCCTTGACCGGAATCGAACTTGGGACCCTTGAGTCTGCAGACCGATTTCGCCTAGATATATCCTTATCTCCTTAATTCATTCAGCCATTCAACAAATATTACTAAGCATCTGTTTCATGCTAGGCATTGCTTTGATGGAGTTAATTACTTGGAAAAGGGAGACAGAAATTAAATAGACATAATAATAAATGTAGGATTGCAAACTAATGGAAGTGCTCTGAAGGAAAGAAATTCGGCCTTATAGAATAAAGGTAACTAAATTTGAAGTTTATTGAACAGTTATAATATCACACATAATATCAAAGATATTCACTGTATGTTGTTTGAGACCAAAAAATATTGGTAATAACTTATCCATCAACAGAGAACTGGTTAAATAAATTAAGGAAGATCCACATAGTTATTGGAATGTATAAGACCTCTATATCATCTTGATATGGAATGATATCCAGGATACACTATGATGAGAAAGAAAGGTGCAGCATGTTATGTACAGTGCACTATAATTTGTGTTGGGAGGAATGTTTATTTATGTATATTATGCATAGACTATTTTTGGAAGAATATTCAAGAAACTGGCATTGCTGTCTTTAGAAGAGGAAACTACCCTGTTTTCCTGAAAATAAGACAATGTCTTATATTAATTTTTGCTCCCAAAGATGCGCTAGGTCTTATTTGCAGGGGATGTCTTATTTTTCCATGAAGAAGAATACAGTACACATTTATTGTTAAATGAAAATAAAAAAAATTTATTACCTGTATACAGTACGGTAGTACGGTAGTTGTCAACACAAACCAGACAAACTGTGAATCCTACAGTATCAAGAATTTACTCATTTATTCAATGACAATCATGTCATCATCTTCTGGAACATCATCATAACACTCCAATTCCTGAATTTCCTGGTGAATTTCTTATGACTCCATTTCTTTCAGAATCAGTGGACCAAATCTCTCATGTTTAGCCGGGGGGGGGGGGGGGGGGGGCTTATTTTCGGGGGGATGCCTTATATTTCACTCAGAAGGAAATCTGTAAGTAGGTCTTATTTTCGGAGGATGTCTTATTTTCCAGGAAACACGGTAGGAAGGTGAGAGCACCAAAAC